CAGCAAAAATGCATGCAAAGCACAATATAACAAATAAACAAAATGAAATCATTCATGACTGGACATTATTACATTACTCTAATCTAAGCCCATTCATTTCATTGGGTTTAGACTGGAGTAGCTCTGCATTGGATTGCACTGTAAATCTCTTTTCAGTGAGTTGTTACATATCTTATAGCACCCTTAGATTCTTTCAAAATCTGGTTCGGGTATTTTCACTCTACTGACAAACACTGAAATATGCTTTAGTTCTGTCAGATTTATTTCCTTGATGTGAAGGACTCACCTCACCTAATAGGAAGTCAGAAAGTTATGGTAAATGCTCCAAATCTGAACAAGATTATCTTCTGTTATTTTGGCACCATACTGATTTGTTTCTTTTCTCTCAGCAGCAGGTGAAGGGGAAAAGCAGTGAAAAGTGACCAAGCAGATGTGTCCCTGAAGGGATAGTGTCCAACCAGAAGAGTTTGCCAAAGCTCATAAAAGGTAGTGTTTCTGCCCGGTTCTTCCACTTTCAACTAGTTATTACATTATGGTGGGGTTGGGGGAATGTAGGAAGAGCTTGCTGGTTAGCTGGCAGCAGCTGAGTTCTAACTGTGCTAACATTGGTAGGGATGGGCATCAACAGGCTCACAAACTAAAGTTTGTCACAAATTTTGGCCAGTTCATAGTTCACAAAGCGAAGTTCATGGCCGGGCAACTGGCACAAACATTCCATGAACGTTCATGCTGTTCATGGCAATTTGTAGTGGTTTATGAATGGATAAATTTCCAGACAGACTGTCTCTGCTCAATTAAACTGTTTACCGAACTTCAAAGCAAAAGGGGTGTGTGGCATTCTCAAGCCTTGGAAACACCAATAGAGGCCCTCCAAAGCATAACAGGCATTGCGGGCTACCCATAACAGAGTTCCCATTCAGCTCTATGGGATAAGAATGCTGTATATACTTCAGCTCAGCTCCACAGCCTCTACTCTATTGGCTGTTGGCAGTTAGATAGAGAGGCAAATAACTTATTTAAAGCAGAGCACATTCATTTATTTCTGATTGTGAAAACCTCTCCCCTGCTAGGGTTCGGGTGTTAGGTGGACTCAGGGCTCTGAACCACCCCATCTTTCCACTGTCTCTGAGCAGAGGGACTTAGCTACTGGGTGCCTTGGCTGAGGATCCACATACTATACCTTCCTGATTATGAACGTCTCATCCCTGCTGGGGTTTAGATGTTAGATGGACTCAGGGTTCTGAGCCAGCCCATCTCTCTGCTCATGCCCAGTGGTGGGGGCTTAACTACTGGGTGCCTCCTGATAGTAAACTCCTCTCCCCTGCTGAGGTTTGGGTGTTAGGTGGACTCAAGGCTCTCAGCCACCCCATCTGTCTGCTCATGCTGAGTGTTGGGGATTAGCTACTGGCAGCCTTGGCTGAGGACCCATATTTTATACCCTCCTGATTATGAACTTCTCATCCCTGCTTGGGATTGGATGTTAGGTGGACTCAGAGCTCTGAGACACCCCATCTCTCTGCTCATGCCCAGTGGTGGGGGCTTAGATATTAGGTGCCTCATCTGAAGACCCCCATTTTATACCCTCTTGATTGTAAACTCCTCTGTCCTGCTGGAGTTTGTGTGTTAGGTGGACTCAGGGCTCATGGCCACACAAGAGAGGTCATGCCAGATGACAGCCTTGCATGACCAGTACTGCAGGGAATCAGCATCAGCAGGCTCAGGGGACTTGGCGAGGTACTCCCTCACCAGCACCTATGTCAAATCTTCCACCACTGAATGCCTGGCATCCCTGTCATGCCTGCCCCTGCTGATGTCATGCCTGCCTTTGCTGATGCCCCTGAACAGGCTCCTGAGGACCCTGAACAGGCTCCTGAGGACAGTACTGCAGCAGAAAGGCAAAGACTGGATCCTGTAGCTGAAAGCTATCTAAGTGGTGAGGAGGATAGAGCCTCCCAGGGAACACCTGCAAGGGATCAGTCTCTGCTGCAGCCCAGTAATTCATCATCAGACTCGCCTCCACCTGTAACCAGGCTCAGGAATGTAAGAAGACAACAGCTGAGAGAGCGAAGGCAGAATGCACGCATGCGTGCCAGAAGATCTCTTAGCCCTGATTACTGACAGGATCCTGTCCTCACTCCTGGCTAGCTAATGAGTTGATTAGCTAGCACTGTATATATGCAAGTCTGTTGCCAGCAGTCATTTGTGCTGGCAAACGTCGTTTGTTCAGGACCTGAATCCTTGCATCTCTGCTCCAGACCTTGTGGAATTCTTCTCGGCTTGATCCTCGGCTTTTGACCTTTGGCTTTGTTGACCCTGCGTTCATCTCTGACTCCTCTGGTATTGTTGTGATTTATGGACTTGAAACTTTGGTATGTCTGACCCTGCTTTTGGACTGTGATTTAAACCTGCTTGAACCTTGCTACCTGATTTGCCCGGCTTGACCTCGGACTGTTCCTGGACTTTTGCTTGCTTGTGTCACGCCCCCTGGTCCTGCCGTGACAGATTGCCAGCACCCACAACGCTCACACATCCCCACCATGGAAGACGGAGCAACCGGAGGTGTGGACCCCATGGAGGAAATGCTAGCACAGGTACAGCACTTAACTCAAGCTGTGATTGCTTTGCAACAACAGGCTGCTACAAATGCTGTTGCTGTAGCAAATGCTGGTACACCTCCCCCACGTTGCCCAATAAATCCTCCTGATCGTTTCGGTGGGAATGTTGATGAGTTCCAGGCATTCCTTGCCCAATGTAATCTGTATATTGAGCTCAGGGCTCGGGACTTTGTTTCTGAGAAGGCTAAAGTTTGTTTCATTTTAAGCCTCCTTAAAGGGCAAGCTGCCAAATGGGCCACGCCCTTGCTGGTGGGGAATTCTCCCTTACTATCTGACTTCCAGGCTTTCAAGGCTCATTTTGCCGCTGCTTATGCCAATCCTGTGAAAGCTGAAACAGCTAACCGCAAAATAAGGGCTCTTACTCAGCATAAAACCTCTGTCGCTCAGTACACCAATGAGTTCCAGCTGCTGGCTCAAGACCTGACATGGAATGAGGCAGCGTTTATTGACCAGTATACTGAAGGGCTGTCTGACGAAATTCTAGATGAACTTGCACGCAGTGAACGCCCTGACACTTTACAAGCCCTCATCCATCTCTGTCTCCGCATTGATGGGAGGTTACAGAGCCGCCGCCAAAACAGAAAAAAGGCTCTCGCCTTCCCCAGCAGAACCCTTCAGACCTTCCACCGGCCTTCCTCCCCCGGCTCCTCTCCACCTCCTGCAGGCACAGAGCCCATGCAACTTGGCACCGCTCGGCCCCGCCTTACTTCTGAGGAGAAGCTGAGACGGCGCACTCAACAGCTGTGTCTGTATTGTGGAGAAGCCGGGCATTTTGCCTCCAGCTGCCCTGCCAAGCAGAAGCGCTCACCACAACCGGCTCCACCGGTAAAAGAGCAGCCCCAAGCCTGACCGGACCCCCCGGTTTGGGGCCTATTCTGGGGTCCTCCAGTACTCCATACTCACCACAGACTCCCTTCCTGGTGCCAGTGCGGTTGCAACTCCCAGACAACCGCTGGCTCTTCATCCACGCCATGTTGGACTCAGGGGCCGCCTGTTGTTTCATGGACATTCTTTTTGCCAAAGAACACGGCGTTCCCCTTCAAGAGAAGGCAACCCCAGCGCTTGTAGAAGCCATTGATGGACGCCTGCTCCGCTCCGGACCCGTCGTCCAAGAAACCCAGCCACTCACCTTGTGGATACAGCAGCACCAGGAACAAATAACTTTCGACTTGGTGAGGATGCCGAGGTTTCCAGTCATCCTGGGTCTCTCCTGGCTGCGCCACAACAACCCTCAGGTAGACTGGGTACATCAGGAGCTCCAGTTCGGCACCAGTCCTGCACCCACGCCTTCCGTGGAAACGATGGTAGACACCCCGTCTTCAGCACCATCGCCAGAACCATCACCAGCTGCTTTGCTGCTGGGCGCTGCGGCTCCCGCTTTACCTGCCACCTATCAGGACTATGCAGACGTCTTTGACGAAAAGGAGGCAGACCAGCTACCCCCGCATCGGCCCTACGACTGTGCCATCAACCTCATCCCCGACGCTCCGTTACCCTCAGGCCGCCTTTACCCAATGGCAGAACCGGAGCTGGCTGCGCTGAGGGACTATTTGGACAAAAATCTGGCCAGAGGGTTTATTCGGCCCTCTACGTCTCCTCTGTCTTCCCCAGTCCTCTTTGTGAAAAAGAAGACAGGAGACCTCAGGCTCTGCAATGACTACAGGGCCCTGAACAAAATCACCATACGGGATAGGTACCCCCTCCCGTTGATCCCTGAGCTCATGGACCGTTTGCGGGGAGCTCAAATCTACACAAAGCTAGACCTGCGTGGCGCCTACAACCTGGTGAGAATCAAGGCAGGAGATGAATGGAAGACCGCCTTTGGTACCCGCTATGGCCAATATGAGCACTTGGTCATGCCCTTTGGCTTGACCAACGCCCCTGCAGTGTTCCAACGCTTTATGAATGACATCTTCCGTGACCTCCTCGACCGCTTCGTGGTAATTTATTTAGATGACATCCTGATCTTTTCCGCCACCGTGCCTCAACACATTGACCACGTAAGGCAAGTGTTGCACCGCCTGCGCACCCATGGACTCTATGCGAAACTAGAAAAATGCGAGTTTCATCGTAAGTCTGTTGAGTTCCTGGGGCATATTATCTCCCCTGAAGGCACGCTGATGGACCCCAAGAAGGTGGAAGCCATTCTCCAATGGCAGCCTCCCAAAAACCGGAAGGATGTTCAACGCCTCCTGGGGTTCTCCAACTACTACCGCCAATTTATACCCGCCTATGCCGACCTCACCAAGCCTCTGACCCGTCTCCTTCGCCTGAAGGAACCCTTCCGATGGACCCCGGAAGCTGACCAAGCCTTCGCCATTTTGAAGCAACGTTTTGCGACCGGCCCCCTCCTGCGATACCCTGACCCGAACCTTCCTTTTGTAGTGGAAGCTGATGCCTCTAGTGTGGCCTTAGGGGCCGTTCTATCCCAGAGAGCGGATCCCTCTCAGCCGTTGCAACCCTGTGCCTATTACTCCCGGCAACTCTCCTCAGCCGAACAGAACTACACCATCTGGGAAAGAGAGTTACTGGCCATCAAGACCGCCTTCGAGGTTTGGCGTCATCACCTCGAAGGGGCCCGTCATCCAGTACAGGTACTCACAGACCATCGCAACTTGGAGCACCTCCAAACCACTCGCCGGTTGAACCAGCGCCAGATTCGTTGGTCCCTCTTTTTCTCGCGGTTCAACTTCACGATTTCCTACATTCCACAGACGCAAAACCAAAAAGCCGACGCTCTGTCCCGCAAACCGGAATATACCCCAACGTCGAAAACGGAAGCACCTGACACCAGTATCCTACCACCTAACGTTTTCGCCGCAGCTCCCGAACCTGCATCCCTCGCTGAGGACATTCGGGCCAGTCAGGCTACAGACCCTTGGGCTCAACAACGCCTTCAGGAGGTACAACAAGGGGATTCCAAAGACCTAACGGTCAAAGACGGCGTACTCTATCATCGGGACCGGGTCTATGTTCCTCCCGGACCCCTGCGAGCCCGCATCCTGCGCCTCACCCACGATGCACCTCCAGCCGGACACTTCGGGCAACACAAAACCGCTCATCTGCTCACCCGAGACTTTTGGTGGCCCCGGGTTCGGGCCGACGTTGACCGGTATGTGAGCACGTGTGATGTCTGCCGCCGGGCCAAGGAGGTTCCTGCCAAGCCCTCCGGCCTCCTTCGTCCGCTCCCTGTCCCATCGAGCCCTTGGGAAATCATCTCGATGGACTTCATCGTCGATCTTCCCCGCTCACACGGACATTCTTGTATCTTTGTGGTGGTGGATCTCCTCACAAAGATGGCGCACTTCGTTCCTTGTCCGAAAATCCCCACCGGGCCGGAAACTGCCCAGCTCTACCTCCATCACATCTTCCGGCTACATGGGGCCCCAGCACAGATCATATCAGATCGAGGCCCGCAATTCTCTTCCCGCTTCTGGCAGGCATTGCACCAGGGACTGGGGACGGAGGTTCACCTGTCATCCGCGTACCATCCCCAAACCGACGGCCAGACGGAGAGAACGAATGCCACTCTTGAACAATATCTCCGCTGTTATACCACGTACCAACAAGACAACTGGTACTCCTTGTTACCTTTGGCCGAGTTCGCCTACAATAACGCGGTGCACTCGTCCATCCAAGTCACCCCATTCGCAGCCAATTATGGATATAACCCCCGCTTCTTCTTGCCCGTTGGACCCCCATCTGACGTTCCTGCTGCAGATGCCAGGATCCAAGAGCTCCATGCACTTCACGAGCTCCTTCGGGAGCAATTACAACATGCCAAGGAAGCCTATAAACGGGCAGCGGACCGCCACCGACAGGAAGGGACACCCCTGAAAGTCGGCGACCTCGTCTGGCTCTCCACCCGGTACCTCCGCGCTCCTGGCCGCTGTGCCAAGCTCAACGCTCGCTTCATTGGGCCCTACAAAATAGACGCCCAGATCAACCCTGTAGCCTTCCGTCTTGTTCTACCAGATCATCTCAGGATTCACCCCGTATTCCATCGATCCCTCCTGCAATTGACAGCTCCTCCGGACCCGAACCGGGACACTCCACCAGCACCCCCACCTCCTGTCATGATCGATGACGAGGAGGAATACGAGGTGCAGCAGGTCCTCGATTCCCGCCTTCATAGGGGTGTCCTGCAGTACTTGGTGGACTGGAAGGGCTATGGTCCTGACGATCGATCCTGGGAACCTGCCTCTCACCTGCATGCCCCGGACTTGGTCCGGCACTTTCATACAGCCTACCCGGACAAACCTGGCCCTTTCGATGAGGGGGGGCCTGAGGGGGGGGATAGTGTCATGCCTGCCCCTGCTGATGTCATGCCTGCCTTTGCTGATGCCCCTGAACAGGCTCCTGAGGACCCTGAACAGGCTCCTGAGGACAGTACTGCAGCAGAAAGGCAAAGACTGGATCCTGTAGCTGAAAGCTATCTAAGTGGTGAGGAGGATAGAGCCTCCCAGGGAACACCTGCAAGGGATCAGTCTCTGCTGCAGCCCAGTAATTCATCATCAGACTCGCCTCCACCTGTAACCAGGCTCAGGAATGTAAGAAGACAACAGCTGAGAGAGCGAAGGCAGAATGCACGCATGCGTGCCAGAAGATCTCTTAGCCCTGATTACTGACAGGATCCTGTCCTCACTCCTGGCTAGCTAATGAGTTGATTAGCTAGCACTGTATATATGCAAGTCTGTTGCCAGCAGTCATTTGTGCTGGCAACGTCGTTTGTTCAGGACCTGAATCCTTGCATCTCTGCTCCAGACCTTGTGGAATTCTTCTCGGCTTGATCCTCGGCTTTTGACCTTTGGCTTTGTTGACCCTGCGTTCATCTCTGACTCCTCTGGTATTGTTGTGATTTATGGACTTGAAACTTTGGTATGTCTGACCCTGCTTTTGGACTGTGATTTAAACCTGCTTGAACCTTGCTACCTGATTTGCCCGGCTTGACCTCGGACTGTTCCTGGACTTTTGCTTGCTTGTGTCACGCCCCCTGGTCCTGCCGTGACAATCCCTGCCTTTGTTGACCTCCCAGTTCACTACTGACAACCAGTAGTGGGGCTTCTCCCCAGTTGGGCTCTTTGAGGCAGAGGTGCTGGGCTGTGGCTCCTCCTCCCCAGCCTCTTCAACTCACTGTTCCCCCGGCCTCATTTGTTGGCATGTGGCCTCCAAACTTCTTTGCAGAGCTCACACTCCCACTGGGAGAGCTCTGCATTCAGAAGAGTGTTACGCCAAATGCTTTATTTACAGCAAATGGTTAACTATAATTTTAACGTGAGTACTGGCCAGCTATACCAAGGTTGTGTCTACCCACAGAGACCCAGTAATAGAGACCACACGGGTATTTTTCCAAAACAAAATTATCTTTTACTGAAGGATTTCGAGTTCACACATACAAAATAATCAGTCTCTCGTTTCACATACACTCAAGATTCCTTAAGAGTTACAGAAAGAAAATCAAAATAGATTATCAGTTACTTGGACGTAGGTAGGTACATTTCGATTTATACTCGCCTGATTCCAGTAGTCTTGTCTGTTGCAATGGGAGAATAGGGGATTAAAGGATTCCTAGGGGTTTAAACTAACTCACACCTGCTAGAACCTGCTAACAAGATGTGGACCTCATTGGCTGCAGTCCAAGAGATCTTAAAGTAGACAAAAGGGTTGTGGTATAGGAAGCTGGGCTTAAGAGGTGGTAAAGAAGATAGAGGTCGTAGAGAAAGGGGTGGCTAGCAAAGACCTAAGGTTTGGGTCTTTACTTTTATACCGAAACCTCCAGGTGGGTGGCACCTTGCCAAACTGTAGCCCACCTACTCACAAGTCCATCCCATGAACTGTCTGATTGGTGAATGTAGTAAGGGGCAGGTATCCCTATGGGTTGGGCCAATATTTGAAATACTATCCTCTATCTCATGGAACACCATTTGGCTAGGTGTGAAGTCACTTCTTCCTGTTTCTCCTTTGAAGTACAAACGGATCTCGACTCTTCCATGCCAGCTTGGTACCATAAACAGGAAACTGCCATACAGATGTAGATAAAGTCCATGCTTTACATGACATCTCATCTCTGCAGTAATGGGGGAATCTTCTTCTCCGAGTTGTTGTTTTCTGCTAACAAAGGCTACCATGTACTTCTTCTTCCCATGATCCTTTGAGCTGAATGTGTGCAAGCTACATTAACATAAAATGCAAGCAGGCTTTTCCTATGTGAACTCTGTCTCACAATAGGTGATTCAAACAGCTTTCTTTGGCTCATGGCATACAAGTGTGTGCACAGTCCATTTATTGTGTGTGTGTAGCAGATATAAATTCATAAATAAGTTCATTTCTCAACAAGAAGAATGCTGCCTTTTATCTGGGAGTCACAGATATAGGCCAGCTTGTATTCCTTTTTATTACAGAGATGATGTAACTTGGTGGTGATGCTCACCTGCAACCTCTCTGCCAGGGCCCTGACCTGTGGGAGAATAGCTGTCCCCTTGGGGCACGGCTGCAGTGTGGTGGCCAGCACACCGTACAGCCCTTGAATCAGGGGGATGACCTGCCCCAGGCTGGCCATATGGGTGAAGAGCAGGTCAGTGGTGTTCTGGAAGCACTTGAGGACATGTACTATTTGGGAGAGAGTCAGTCAGTCATTGAAGCTGATCTGAGCTCCTCTTCCGTATGCAGGATGGGCATGGAGGAGATGTTGCTGCTGCCACCCACCTACTCCCTCAGGCTACTCTGCATTACACAGCGGTGATATTTTGTGCAAGGAGCTCTAATCCTTGGTTTGTAATGGCTTATGGCTAAAGACAAATTTCTATTTCACTTCACTTTCACAAGGAGCAGAACCACTTTTTAGCCCAGTGACCGGACTGTTCTCTTGTGGGGCTTGGGCCATGCTCTGACAGTCCTGCTGACTGCTCCAGTCCTGCTGACTGCCATGAAGTGCATAGTTTTGCCCTTCACTCACCACTGCAGCCAGGGAAAGGCTACATCCTCCATGAGGGAGAAGGGTTGGCCAGCCACAGCAATCATCTCATCAACAAGGCGAATGACTGCATCCTGGAGCCTCCACATAGCCCTTTTGACCTCTTGGAGGGTTGCCAGCCTTAGTGTCCCACCCATGACAGCCCAAATGTAGGGGGCCTTTCTTGGAGGGGCCTTATGCTCCCCCTCCACTTCTCCCTGCTGAGAGGGAGTAGGCTTCTTCTTCTTCCTGCTGGTCACCACTCTTTCCTCCGGTGGCAATGTAGTTGGGTGCACCATTTGCAGGTCCCTGCAGAGGATGGAGGAGGACAAGTGTTGGGGCAGGTTTGCACTCTACATGGTTGTGGCACACCTGACACTCTGCCACACAAGGGTTACTGGGGATGGTGCAGAAATGTTTCCAAACTGTGGGCTTCCCCCCATCCTCTATATTACTGCTGTCAGAGTTCTCCTCTCCAAAGAGTGTTAGCAACGGCTGGTGTCTCTAGGCAGTGCTAACAACTTTTTTGCCTCAGTGGAGAGCCCCAGGAACAGATCGGGGCAGGAGGCTCCAAGGCACCTGGTGATTCCCTTTTAAGGTGGGGCTCCAGTGGGCTGGCAAGATGGGTTTGGTGCCTGGGGATGGGGGCCTGTGGTAGATGACTTCTTCCCTCAGTGATGAGCACACTTTGCACCCACTTTCACCATCATGGCACACAGAAATGTTCACACTCAGGAGGGGTGGGAGGGTATAAATGCAGGAGACCGTTTTTTTACAGTCCATAACTGAGACCTCAGAAATGTAATCTGCCCCCAACGTGGAGAGATTGTAGAGGAGCAGGCAGCAGGTTGAGGTTCCCTGTGTGTTTGCTGTGTGTAGCTTGGAGGGGGCCTATTCTATACATTTTTAAACCTGTGTCTGACATTTCTCCCAAAAGCACTTTCCTGGCTTAGTCCTATTGGGTTTGCACTGCTATAGTGGCACTGGTTCTGCTAGGCTTGCAAAAATGCCCCTCCCTTTACTTTCTACTGCAGATATTTTCTGGTTTCACCTTAGTCCTGTTGGGTTTGCACTGCCACAGTGGCACTGGTTCTGCTGAGCACATTGCACTAGTTCTGCTGGGCATGCAAAAAATCCCCTCCCCCACTTCAGTTTCTACTATAGAGATTCTCCGGGACTTTGACTGTGTTCTGCTGGGCTTCTATTGCCCTTGCTTTGTTGTTGTTTCCCTCCCTTGGAAACAATGCCATATGGGGGCACCTTCTTGGGGGGCATAACTTAGACCCCATAAATCCAATCATCACCAAGCTTGGAGGGCTGGTAGAGGACAGTCAGTTGGAGACCATAAGTGAGATTGGAGTCTCTAGCTTGTACAGGATCCATTCTAGACACTCTTGAATCTCCTGAACCTGCACTTGCAATTTCCCCAGAAAGCACTATCCTGGACCCACCTTCTTTGGGGGCCATAACTTGGACCCTGTAAATTCAATCATCACCAAACTTAGAGAGCAAGTAGAGGAGAGTCAGCTGGAGATCTTTTGTGAGTCTGGTATCTGTAACAAACCAGGGGGTCATTCTACTGCATCATGAACCTCATGAACTGAACCAGTTCATTTGGCAGCTAAAAGTTCATGATTCATGGTTCATGAACTGGGCACACCATGAACTGAACCACATTTTCCCAGTTTGTGCCCATCCCTGAACATTGGTCTTTCTCTCTCTGTGATACCTAAAGCCAGGGCTCTAGTCGGGGGGGAGCTCTCAGGTACGGAGCTCCGGAAGAGAACCTCTAGGGGGCGGGGCGGTCACGTGGTGAAGCCCCGCCCCCTTCTTTACCCCGCCCTCTGCTTCGATCCTCATTCCGTTTGGGAATGAGGATGAAGCAGGAGGGTAAGTAGCCGGGCCTTCTGACACACTTCCGGTGATGTCAGGGGGGGTGGCCTTCTGTCACTTCCGGTGATGTCAGGGGGCGTGGCATATGCAAATAAGTTATGCTAATGAGTTATGCTAATGAGCTCCGGCAGCTCTTTTTCTACAACAAGACCCCTGCCTAAAGCCATTGCAGGACCAGATTTTCAAGCCTTTGAATGTGAGCTAAGGGGTAAGAGTGTTACTATGAATCTGCTGTTCCAGCATTATTTTCCTTTATAAACACCTTAGCATATTTTGGGGAAGGGGAGATACAGTAGAATTGTTCATTGAAAACTCTCTTCCCTCAATAACCATTGCACTACAATTGTGCTAATAGGCATGGTTTTAAAAAGTATTTCCATATAGTATTTCCATATAGTCTGGTGCATACTGTACTTCTTTCCATAGTTTGTACTTCATTTCCATAGTTTGGAGCCCAAGAGTTCCTTTTGCTGTTTGAGAGATCTTCCATGAATAGAAAACTCCTTCACTTCATGGAATGGAGAACTCTTTATGTAAACAGAAATGTCTTCATTTAGCAGAAGACTTACTTTAGAATCAAACCCCATGTGTTTGTTGCCCACAAGGGGGTACCTATTACCGTGTCATACCAGGATCTGGAGAGACCCAGGTTCAAATTTTCACCATGCCATGAAACTTGCTAACGTTGTATATGGCATATTACATTCTCTCCTCATTGACCTTGTACTGCTAGTGATTTTATGGCACAATTTCAGATGACCCAATTAATTTGTAACTATTTCTGATCTCTTTGTGTGATGATTTATGACGCTTCTCTTTATAGGAAATTATTTTTTCCGTGTAAACAGTTCCAAGGTTCAGCATTTTGGGACTGCCTTTTACCATAGCAACAGCAGAAGGTTTTTGCTACAGAAGTGTGTTTTAGAAGGTTGCAGTCCCTCCTTGCTTGACAATTTAGAAATGAAGGGGCTAATAATCAGGCTTTCTGAAGAGTGGCCATTTATTATTTGACTTGAAAAGAAAGAATAGAAAAAGAGGAAGAAAGCCAAGACAAGCTTTAGAAAAGGCTAAAGGTTCAGAAAGTAGGCTTGCTGAGAATTATGAATTAATCATTCAATTTTCACAAATTACAGAGGGCTACCTGACAATTTACTGGTCACTACATGATGACCCATTTCATGTGAATAAAGCTGCTTTGGAGGCAGGGTACATTCACACTAAATCATTAAAACCTTTGATCTCTAAACACAAGATGTTCAATGCAGCTGATATGCTCTTTTCACAACACTGTAGGTGTAGTTCCCAATCACAATGGATTTACATTTTGGGGAGGAGAATTCATATGTCATCATTAGATCCTGTTATGGTTATTTACATTTAAATATATTTTGCTATATGTACATTTACCCTACTCTGCTCTCTTTCCTCCCGGACATTTAATTAGAGGGTGAACAACATAGCTTTAAAGTCTTTCTAGCCCGATAACTGTTTTGAGACCTGTTTTAAGATGCTCAGTATTTTATGTTGTTTTTCTGCTTTGCCTGTTTTAATTATGCCTGTTTAACTGTCAACTTTTTTTTGCATTCTATGTCTTTGTTCTACTTCATAACATGTTTCAAGCACATTCTCTGGAAGTGGCAGAGAAATGTGTTAAATAAATACTCAAGTCAGTAAGTAGAAGCACTGGTCCTGAATTGCAACTTGAGGGAAGGGGGGAGGGTGAGCACAGAACATTGGCTGTCTGGCTTCTGCCAAATGTGTATGGTGTGGGAGGCAGAGGTCCAGCTGGGCAACTGTGGCAGGGGGGGGGGGGGGGGGGCTCAGGCAGCCTGGGTGGAATGACTCCCCTCAACCTGCCCCACTCCTACTTATGGGGCCACTGCAACGGCCAACCACCACTTTTGGTCAGCTCTCCCACCTACCCTCCCCATGTGTTCAGCTGTTACGGGTTACAGTTCATTGTTTTCTTGTTTCATTGTTCTTTACTTCATCACAGCTTGTGGTATTTTGGGCATTAGGACAGATCCTTTTGCGGTGAGGCTGTGCCTGCACACCTGCCTCCCCCATTTGGGGACTTCCTTATGGGGTCTTGGGGTTGAACTGTTCACTGGCATGCCCAGCTTGGGGCTGATAGCTGACTCTCACCAGCAAGTGGCAAGGGAACCACTTAGTGGGCAGCACCCTTGTGGATCCCAGGGATTACCACTCCATGATTCCCCCCCAGCAGACAGGCCGGGGGGTTTCATTGGGTAGCTGAGAATGGAAGGCTATTGAAAGCTGTTCCCTTTTCGGCTGCAGTCACACACACTAAGGCCAAATCTACATATGCATTTTAGAATCAGCTTGGTGCCGCTGTTATCCCATGTGGTTTAGAACTGCTGCACCTCTGCTTTCAAGTTAGCATTAGGGGAGCTGTCCACTTTGTCTTTTTTCAGTTATCTAATCACAATATATTGTTCATCACTAGATGGCCCCTGGGGGTTACTGGAGTATTCTGGGACTGGAATGAGAGGCCCCAGAGTGGAATGGTAGCCCCTGGGGTTAGCAGGAGTATTCTGGGACTGGAATAACCGGCTCCAGAGTGGAATGACAGCCCAGGGGGTAGGAGATGTGTCCTGGGACTGTAATGATAGGCCTGGCATTCCAGTTCCAGGACACTCCTCTTACTCCAAGGGGATGTCATTCCACCATTGGGCCTGTCATTCCACTCCCAGAACACAACTGCTACCCCGAGGGGCTGTCATTCCACTCTGGGGCCAGTCATTCCAGTCCCAGAACACATCTTCTACCCCCAGGGGCTGTCCTTCCACTCTGTGGTCTCTCATTCCAGTCCCTGAACACTCCTGCTACCCCCAGGGGCAGTCATTCCACTCCGTGGTCTCTTATTCCAGGTATAG